CCCCCCCCTCTCCCCCCGACCTACTGTGGTTCCCCTCATCATAAAAGGTTTCAATAATATGCCTTTGAAACACCCGATTTTTCTACATGTTGGCGATGCATCGATGACACAAGTACGTTCCTCCCACAACCACGTGTGCGCTCTAAATGACATCAGCGGGAAGTACGTTTCCGATTGCAAGTTCCAGCACGACGATATACTTTCGTGGTGACGTCCACTTCCGCTCAATGTCACNNNNTGGACACCTACTTTGGACAGGTCATGGCCGGTTACCCGCAGATCCTCCCCGTGTGTGACCGGCTCCTGCCCGAAGACGTGCAACGGGAGAGCAGCGGCGTGGGGGGGGGCGGCCGCCGGCCCTACCGGCGCCAAGGGAGCCGCTGCTGACGCGAAGAGGAGAGAGGACTCCAAACGCAGAGCGAGGGAGGACAACGCCCATCTCAAGGCCAAGAAAAAGGTGTCTAAGAACGCCGTCAGAGTGCAAGAGACGGCCACGGTTGCCATGCACTCAGTGGCGTCGGTACTTGGACTGCCCCCCGGCGGATTAAGCGAGCTATTTCGGCCAGCGTCCGAACCCGCCCCCGCCGCAGCACCTTCCTCGCGGGACATCGTAGATGAAAAGACCGCAAAATTGTCGTTTTTCGACACCTTGTTCAAATCTTTCCAAGCCGCCACGAAAAGTCTCAAAGAAGCCAAAGCAGAGGTGGCAGGCGGCGACAGCACGGCGCTGGAAATTGTCGGTTTTCTGGAAAAAAATATAGCGAAGATTAGAACCGAGATGGCTGAATGGGACAAAAGTCCCCTTTGAGGGACAGCCCGCGGTCCCTCCCCGATTCCACATGTGCTAGAGCGACCGATTGTGTTTTAGGGGCGGTTGGTGCAAGGTCGTTCGTGTGCCGGCGGAGGAGGGAGAGGGAAGATCGCTTTCACTTGCTGTACCGTTTGTCTTTTGTCGGGTGGGTGTTTGACGAGTGTACCACGTGTAGAACACGCATGGAGAACGCGTAGCGCACGCTTGATGTTCGATGTTGTTTTTTTGCCACGTACAGCACTACCCCTTGTTCTTTTTGTGTCTTTGTGCGCGTGTATTCGTAGATGACTAGGGGGGGGGGACACGCAGAGCGAACTTGTGGCGCACAAACAAAGTTCGTTTTTTTTGTAGACACGTTCAGCAGTACCACTTGTCTTGTATTTTTTGTGGTGTTTTTTTACAGGTGCCTAGGGGGGGGACCACGCAGAGAGACCGTGTGGCGCACGACCAAAGTTTTTTTTTTAGACACGTACAGCAGCACCATTTGTTTGTTTTTTGGCCGGTGTGTTTATCACCAACCACCGTCTGCATTCATGAATGCTTCGGAAACAACGTCTCCTCATGACGCGAACGTAGTCAAATACAACGTAAAACGGGTTTTGAACGTGGATCCATTCCCGATATGGTTATCCCGGGCTGTGGGAGCTGACCGTCTACGCCATGATGCTGTTCAGCCAATACTGTCTTCCTACAGACAACATCGTGAGGTCAGAAAAAAGAAACATCTCTGTTACCATCTCGCATCACGCAACTTCATGAAGAAAGGACTGGATGCCATTTTTTTTTCAGTGCTATTATCCTTGGTGTGCAAGAGTCCTCATGAACAACTGAGTCACGTTCAGGAAATGGTCGGGAACAAGCTGCCCTCCCTCGACATACTTCGGCCGTCTGCAGCAGTAACACTCGCACGGCCAGGCATATCAGAGTCTCCTCCGTGTTCCGATACCCGTACCCCGTGGACGACATGTGCGAGCCTGCCGCTCGTCGAACTTTTAGAACGAGCGGATTCCGTTGAAACCCTCGGCAACGCGCGGGGGCTGGTTGAAACTACGGGGAGAACCCCTGGCACTGAAGTTCCTTTCGGTGGTTGGTTGAAGGGCAGCCCTTGCAAGGTGTTCCCCTTCACTTTGGTCGTCCGGCAAACACGAACCCACCTACCCCCGAAAAACGCCGGCGAAACGAGATCCACGGACTGGATGTCAAGGATAGTGCGATGACTATCACACGTAGAGCACAAGCTGCACAGGCGTCCCGAAAAACTCGGAAATATACTAACCCCGAAGGAGGAGCACCAACTTCACAATGCGAGGCTTGATTAAGGAGGTTCAACGCACATAGGCCTGTCTGTGGCGTAAAATCAGTTAACCACACCCACACGCACCTTCGAGTAAGGACCGCCACAGTGATAGTGTGGTTCCACAGCCGCCAAGCTTCCTGCAATCAGTGTGATGCCAATCATCGGGCGTTGCGAACGCGGAACGGGTTCGTGAAGGGACTGCACGACGTGAAACGAAAAACAGGTTTCTTCCACCACTGTACAACTGCGAGACCTCTCGTGCTGGTTTCGTGACCGACCGATATTAATATATTGTTGCCTTGTCTGGATGCAACGCTCGTGTCAGACGATTTTCAAGTCACAGAACCTGCATTGGGAGGTTATCTGCAAAAAATACTTCCAAACACGCATTCTTCTTCGTCCTTGTTTGCTTGAATGTGTTTAGGCAAGAATGCCACAGGACCAAATAGGCTGCTCATGGGAAAGGTAGAGATTTGCCGTGTCTCCAACTCGGCGATGGGAGATAAGGTGGTCAAGGGGGAGCAATCTGGTTATCTGCGTAGTCATCGTCCAACTCTGAGAACGGGCATAGTTGTTACCTCGGCTCGCCACAACGGAACGACCGCCAGCAGAGCCTGATCCAATTCGATATACCTCCTCCCACCTTGCTCCCTGCGGTACGACATGAGGAACAACGGTATGTCGTCAAGTGTACCTATCGACGTGTCATTCACAGTGTGGCCTTCTACGAAAGCGACTCCAATGGGGCGTACACTAACCGGTCGCAACCGGTCGCCCCCGGTGGCCTAGTGGTATCCTCGTATTCCGCTAGTTGCAGAGGTCATGAGTTCGAATCCCCATGGGGGGGGGGGGGGGGNTTAGCGGTTAGACCATTGACCACGCGTCCTCGAGAGGACGGAGCATTGTTCCCACAGGACCGATCACCGATGGCCAATCGTTCCTTTCTACTTTGCCAAACTTGGCTCAAAAATGTCGTCCCTAGTCTCTCTATCCTAACGATATCCCTTCCCGCCGTTTCAACCCACCTCCTATGCCCCACTACAGCTACCGTCCTTTCCTCTCTATTCCATCCCTCAAACATCTCCCTGTACGTCCTATCTATTTTTCCCAGCTCAGTCACGAACACTCCCTCTCCTTCTTGTACAACGGATATTCCGCGACTACATGAACACGGTCTTCGTATTCGAAGCCGCAATCACATTTGAACTCGTCGTCTTCGTCGTCTACCGTCCTATGTCGTCGTCGACGTTCTCGAAGGCCTATGTCCCCGGTCCTGAATTTGACCTTAAGCTTTGTCCCTGCATCCATTGGTCCATGTAGGTAATCCTTGAACCCTATTCCTGCCTTCAACATTCCGTACACTTCTAGACTCTCCTTATCCTTGGCTTCTTTCTTTAGATTCTGTTCTTCTCTTTCGGCACAAGCAACAGATATCTTCTCCTTGAACCCCTGTAGACCCTCCGTTTCCAGCGTTTCATCTTCGTCGATGTCGAGCCCCTTCCATACGTCTTCTACAACCTTGGCCCATTTCGTGGGTTGTCTACCCTCCTTTTTGTTTGCCCACTTCGCCTCCCATACACTTCTCGGCAACCTCTCCTCTCCCATCCCGCACATGCGATACTGCCAGGTCAGCTTCCTCGCGTCTCTTCCCGACCGTAGGGATTGGATCCCCAATTCTGCCCTCACGGCTGCATTACTTG